AGCATATTCCTTAGGAGATAAGGATTACAACAATAAAGGGGATGATTATCCTAATCCTATAATGATTAGGATAACTACAACATATGGATAAACACAAGGGAGGATAGTGACTGATGCTTGGCCGCCTGGTATAGTACTGATGTGGTCTGGTCCATTTCCGGATATGTCCCAACCACCATCTTCATTTCTTAACAAATTTGAATATATTATACAAATATTCCAAATTTTCATGGTGGCTAACGTACATCCATCACTGAATGCAATACAGTACTCTATTCTAGGAAAAAATAGTTACTAATATGGCAATCTAAAACCAAATCTACTATATATGGGTTTCTTATCATTTCTCTAAATAATTTAACCTTTTTAAGCTTAATTCCAGGTTTACATTTTTGGTTCTATGAGAAGAATAGACCCATAACTAAAAATTATTTCTCATCCTAATATAAGCAGGGAAGAGAAGAAGAGGCTAAAGTAATCATGAGAAAAATCTACTCAGCAGAAAATGTAGAACAAGAGATTGGAGCATTAAAAGACTCAGTTGAATCAGAGATACTAGAGGAAGGATCTTCAGAGAAAATCAACATGATCAAACTATGCAAAACCAAAACCGTTAGACGAGGACTAATAGCTGGTGTTGGTCTCCAAGTGTTTCAACAGTTCGTTGGTATCAACACCGTTATGTATTACAGTCCAACCATTATCCAGCTGGCTGGTTTCGCTTCGAACAGAACAGCTATTCTCTTGTCTCTAGTTACCGCAGGACTAAACGCATTTGGTTCCATCATTAGCATTTATTTCATCGATAGAATCGGAAGGAAAAAGCTTTTGATCATTAGTCTTTTGGGAGTCATTGTCTCTCTTGGATTGCTAACTGGTGTTTTCCATGAAGCAGCTACTCATGCTCCTGCGGTTAGCTCCCTCGAGACACAAAGGTTCAATAACGTTACTTGTCCGGATTACAACTCATCCTTGAAAGCACAAACTTGGGATTGTATGACTTGTTTGAAAGCTTCTTCTCCTTCTTGTGGGTTTTGTTCATCTCCCAGTGGAAAGGTAAAGACTTCGAAAACCCGAAAATGTTTTTTTTTTAATTTAAAAGCATTTGAATTTCCATATCCTTTTTTTATATGATGAATGCAGGAACATCCTGGTGCTTGTTGGGTCTCTAATGACTCGGTTAAGGACTTATGTCATAGTGAAAACCGGCTTTGGTACACAAGGGGATGTCCTAGTAATTTTGGTTGGTTTGCTCTTCTTGGATTGGGACTTTATATCATTTTCTTCTCTCCCGGGATGGGGACTGTTCCATGGATAGTTAACTCAGAGATTTATCCATTGAGATTCAGAGGAATCTGTGGAGGAATAGCTGCAACTGCAAATTGGATTTCAAATTTAATTGTGGCTCAATCTTTCTTGTCTTTGACTGAAGCTATTGGCACTTCTTGGACTTTCCTCATGTTTGGAGTGATCTCAGTCATTGCTCTTCTCTTTGTTGTGGTGTGTGTTCCGGAGACGAAAGGAATGCCAATGGAGGAGATTGAGAAGATGCTTGCAGGAAGATCTCTTCATTTCATGTTCTGGAAGAAAAGATCACAGCCTGTTGAGAAACGAAACCAGAGTGTATAAGAGAAAACTGTTTAAAGATTTAATTAGCAATATCAATAAGAAATCACATGAAGATTTGTAAGTCTGTATTGAAACTTTGATAGTGACTATTTCATGATCCTCTTTTTAAGAACCAGTAAAAATACTATATATGTTATGAGTCAAAACTACTGGAGCAAGATCTTAGCAGCTATATCTTACCATATAAAATTGAAATCTCACCAAAATCATTTCGATAAAACCATTTAAATTATGAATATATATATATATATATATATATATATATATATATATATATATATATATATATATATCTAATATTATTTGAGAAGTCAGTTTCCTACGTGTCGCGCTCCCATTAACTCTTATGATGGTTGATTACATAGATACCCTTAATGAATTATTAGATTTTAAGTTTATTATTAATTTTTTTATTTAGTTTCATTTTTCTTTTTCTAAATAACATATATAATAAAAGGGAAGTATTTCTAAAATTTTAAAACACAGAAAACGAAAATATATGTATATAATATGACTTTATTAAAAAGGAAAGTTCAAAAAATAGTAATATACCCACATTAATATATATTTTAAATAACATATATTATATTTTCAAAATAATAAAAATATATATATTTATGAACATAAATAAAATTAATTTAATTTGACTTAACTAAAATAAGGAATAAATAAATATTATGAAAATACATGTATATATAAGATATAAATATAACTAATTCGATTAGACTTAACTATAATAAAAAATAATTATACTTCAATTTTAACTCAATTCACAATATGAATGACTCGACTTATCTAATTTATATCCAAAATTAAACATCTCACTACAATAAGAACATATAATTTTATAGTAATAATAATCTTTTTAATTTTATACATATAAATTAGAGGTTGACTCAAAGCATATTAAAAAGAAAAATAAAATATTAACCAATTACAATTTATTCTTTTGTAGAATTTATATATATGCATGAGACTTCAAAATATTATCATTATATTCATTTATGTAATTTTGAATCAAACACTTCAGCTTATTATTTATTTTAGTTTAAGCACAATATATATATATATATTAAGTTATATATAATTTAACTATAATATATTTACATATCTAAGAAAATAACCAACCGAAATGAAAATAAGAAAATTAATCAAAGTTTTATTATATTTACAATAAAAAATATTATAGCTGAATTCGAAAAATAAATATTATCCAATATACCAAATTGATAACCAAACCGACTATTGATCCAAAAAATAATTAAACCGAGAATAATATATCCAAAGTCATATGTATAATTAGAATAAATAATATTTATTAATATAAATTATACATATAAATTGATACAAAACTAAAACTAAATATCAATAAATTATTATTAAATTTTACTTTTATAAATATTTATACCCGTGCATGAGCACGGGAAAATCACCTAGTATATATATATATATATATATATATAGACACACAAATACACATTCTCTCGTTTAGTTATTGTCAATGGTTGTGAACCACTATGGTTCTAAGTTGTTAAAATATATCATTTGAATAAAATTTTGACTTTTGAGCTGCTGAGCATGAAGCTGACAACTACAAGATTAAATGCAGATAACAAAAATGTACTTGAAAGTTGACTAATTCCAAACAGTCTTTTGCTCTATTTACATTATAACATTTCTAATAATAAATCAACTCGAATACGGGCAACTAAACTACTAATGAGGTTTCTCAAACCAATTGTGCATTTTTATTTATCAGTCTCTACTCGAAAAAAAAAACAATTATGTTTAGTATAAGAAAAATTCAAAAATACATTTAAGATTGAAGAGATACATTGACATTGGAGTAACAATGTATTTTGGCAACAAAAAGGTGAAATTCGATTTGACACAAAAGATTCTGAATGTGCATCAATAAATGCCTTTAGACAGCGACACGTGCCTGGTGCCTCACAGTCTCGAGCCCGTCGTTAGCTCTGTTACCACCGAAACCCAAATACTATCACCTTCTTTTTTGCATTGGTCTTCTTAAAAAACCACTTTTATAATGGAAGCCACACAAATATTTATGCAATTCTGGAATACTCATATCATTAAAGACATGTGATTATAGAGAACGTAGCATTTCCCTAAATGGGAAAGTATTTGGTTAGTTAGTCCAAGTGGGTTTGTTCGTGTGAGATGTAACTATCTTTTAGGTTTGTTTTTATTCAAGTATGATCAAGCATCAAATTGTTTTATATGGACTGGAAACACTTGAACTTGGATTACTTATTCTGGCGACTTGTGTTCAAAAGAACCCCTGCTTAAGGGAGAAAACACAGTTTAACTGATGCTGATTGAAAACAGAAAATGATAGAGAGACCGATAAGCTCCGTATATATGTCTCGCATGCAAAGAAGTGTAGTTTATGCCTTATCTGAAGATCATGCGTCCTCTAAATCACCTCGATTTTCACTATTGATTTTAAATCAGCATGAAACATGATGCAAGTAGGTTCCTGAATAGATAAAGATCCTTTAACAAATTTAGACTAGATATTTGCATCAATGATTAAAGTATCGATGTGCCTCACTCATGGAGTGATGGAGCCATAATTTAAGAAAGGATCCTTTCTCCCGTACATTTAAAACTGGAAAGCTCTAGTGTAGGATATGAACTGTTACAACTGTATTTGAGCACCATGAATTTATCAGTGACTTTTCATAGCTGATAATGTCAACCCCACATATCGGTTAGGTCAGCGTTTTCGACTCCTTCAGATGTGTCTGAGCGACCTAAGATTTGCTTATTAGCTTTTCTGTTTTGTTTGTTTTATCCGGACGCTAAGTAATTCGAATTGACTTTGTATGTTTGGACATTTTTTGTTTTGACTTTTACACAAACTCAAAAACATGTGAATGTGATGGATATATCAATCTTTGATCTAAGTGAATAAAATAGATTTGTGTATAACTTTACATGTAGCAAATATAGTGTAATTACCCTTTCATGATTTTTCCTAATAAACTATTTGCACTTGCATTATTCTTATTTTTCTTTCATCTACAAATACACACACATTGATTAATTACTTGAACATATTTCTCATGAATATATAATAGGAATGAAATAAAAAAGAGATAATATAATCTTATTTAGTTTGAGATATTTTAACACAGTTGGAAAATAAGCAATTTTGACCCAAAAAAGTTGGAAAATAAGCAATATTTTAAAATATTAAATTTATTTGGAAAACTCTATTCACCTATGCTATGGATTAGACATACAGTACTTTATAATTGGAGTAATTGTGGCCTAGCTATTTGATATTCCAATTGTAATAGGTAAACAATGAATGGCAGATTAGTAAAAACAAAAGAAGGGTAAAAGAGAGAGAAAACAGCATAACGAAAGTCGAAAGTACTAATTACTAAATGGTCTGAACGGGTGCACTTGTATTCCCTTGTCCGAAGGCTACTGTGGATATTATTCTCCAACAGTAATAATACTTTCTCTCTCTAGCGTCTCTCTCCGATTCCCATTTTTCGCCATTTTTATTTCACTTTCTTGGTTGATTTTCTTGGAAAAAAAAAGAAAGAAAGAAGAAAAACATCCTAAATTTTACCACAAACTCCCCTGAAAACGAATATTTGATGTTATATTAAACATTTTTGACTTAATTATTTCAGATCTGTGGATCATACTCTTAACGCTTATAACTATGAAATCCAAGCTTCAGAATACTACCAAAGAGAGTAAGAATAAGCTCATGACAAGAAACTGAAGAAAAATCATTTATTTCTTCATCGCCGCCATTGTTGTTGTACAGTGAGCTTGGACAGCTGACACCTGTTACCCAAGTGAGTCTCTCTTGTTGGTGATTTTTGAGGCAAACCCCCCCCCCCCTTCTCTCTTTTATTTTTTTTAGGATTAAATCTATGATTTATTTAATTTATCTATAATGTTAATTTCTGTGATTGTTCCATTTTTAGGGCAAGCTTCTAGCTTCATGAACATAAATCATTGCCATTAGTTCTTTTTCTTCTTCTTCGTCTTCTTTATCTTACATATCTCTTCTTGTTCTTCTGGGTAGTAACTATAACTCATAATCTCTAGACATCCTATAGGTATAGTTTTTTTTTTTTAACAATAACAGTTTAGGGTTTCTGAAAAGCTCTTGCAGCTATGAGGCTATATATGCTATATGAACATGAATATTTACAAAATAGGCTTTGCCGTTGCAGATCTATATATTAGTATCAATTAATTAATTAGCTGAAATTAATCTTTTATATATTTTCAGTATTTCAGTGGCAGTGACTTTAATTTCTTCTTCCTCTTCCTTTTTACAGATTCAATCACTGCAACATACTCAGGCTTTTTTTCTGCTCTATCGTCACAGCTCTGCAACTGTTTTGCTTCAGAGAGAGAGAGAGGAGATAGAGAGTAGTAAATGCTTAATTAGGGCTTTGCTGGCTTCATCTGTCCACTGTCTCTCGCCGGCGACTATCTTACCGGAAAAGCATGAGAGTAGTGTTTCAATGGAGGACGAAGAAGACATTGAGACAAGCAGAAAGCTACAGAGAATCTCTTCCGACAACAACGACAAAACTGAAATGAGAGACTGGAGCAACCTGTCGTCTAGGATCATTAGGGTTTCACGAGCTTCCGGTGGCAAAGACCGACACAGCAAAGTCTTAACATCAAAAGGGTTAAGAGATCGGAGAATACGTCTCTCCGTCGCTACAGCGATCCAGTTCTACGATCTCCAAGACCGTCTCGGTTTCGATCAGCCGAGCAAAGCCGTTGAGTGGCTTATCAACGCAGCTTCTGACTCAATCTCCGATTTGGAACCAATCGAGACAAACTTCGACCAGACACTTTCGTTGTCCAAATCCAGCACATCTGAGAGTTCGTTGTTGTCTTTGTCGAGGACAGAGAGTCGTGGCAAAGCAAGAGAGAAAGGTTTGCAAAGCTCTTTCACTCAGCTTCTCACAACCGGTTTAGACGAACCGAACCGGAATTGGACCGGTGGTGGTTCTTCTGATTGTTTCAACCCGGTTCAGCTCATACCAAGCTCTTTTGTACCGAACTACAACTTTGGAATCTCTTCTTCTGATTCTCCCGGAGCAGCTGGTTGTTACAGTAGTAGGGGGACCCTTCAGTCCAATTCACAACCTCTCTTTCTCAACAACAACATTAATCAAAGATCGATATCTTCGTCTTCTTCTTCATCTTTTCCAATGGATAGTCAGAGCATTTCCTTCTTCATGACTCCACCTCTCGACCACCATAACCACCAGCTTCCAGAGGCTTTTGACGGCAGGTTATATCTATATTACGGTGAAGGAAACCGGAGCTCCGACGATAAAGGAAAGGAGAGGAGATAGGACAACAAAAAATGGTTCATTAATTCCATTAGTTAGTACTTTCTATCTATTTTACAATGTCTCAATCCTTCAAGATAATTATAAATATAGTTAATTTAGTAATATAGTACCATGTTGTTGTGTGCAATTGGTTTCTTGATTTTGTAAAAGAGAGATGGTTTATTGGGGCGTGGGGTTGGGCATTGAGTCTTACTCGTATCTTTTATTTGTGTGTCTCGAAGTAAATGACATTTTTAAGATTGTAAATTTGATGGCATGTGGGATGAATTTGAAAAGAGGGCTTCATCGTCTGTGTTTGTCTCCTCATGTGTTCCATGTTGGGTTCCCTGCTTACTCAGCATTCACTTTGTTCCCCTTGATGTACTTTCTAGCTTCACCACGTATTATCACAATTAATTTAATCAAATTGAGAATGATTCAATATCATATTTAGAAGAAGTAGTATTCAGCTATCCTCTTAATCCATATGTTTCTGAATAACTTTGCAAAAAATAATTTATATTTGAACATCTCCAAAAGATACTCTATGACTCTAAAGATGATTTTTTTTTTAATTTTTAAAAAAGAATTTTAAGACTTCAAATTTAAAGTTTTGAGTAGTGAAATTTCAAATATAAAGTGTCACTACTTAAAATTTCAAATTTGAAGTGTCATATTTTTATTTTCATTTTGGTCCTTACAATTACACATCACATTTATGATTCTTAAAATATTTTTTTATCATTTACCTTAAAATTCTTATCTCATAAATATTTCAAAATTATTTTTTTTATAAATTTAAATTTTACACGTATTTTTTTTAATTTAAAATATTTTAAAACTAGAATTAGACAACAACAATATTACAAGAATTAATTTGGTATTTTATTTGTAGTTTAATATTTAATTATATACTTCTATTTATAATTTTATCATTTACTATAACATTTTATTAATTAATATTTTTGTAATACATTTATATATGTACTAGTTATTTTAAAAAGCTTTATGAATTTGAATTAGTTATGCCAAATATAAGGATCATAAAATAAAATACAAATAGTTTTGAAGTTAAAATTAAAATTTCACTTTTGGAGAATAACACCTTTAAACTTCAAATATAGAGTTTTACAAATTTTTTTTTTTTTTTACAAAAAAAAGAGTTTTACAAATTTTAAGATGAGTTTTTTTCCGAGATGTTTTAATGTTCACCATAAAACTTCAAATTGTTTGAATGAATTAAATACTGGTAGTATTCAAGTTCTGGTGTTTAGGAATCTTTTACGAAAATCAAAAGGAAAATGCGGCCAGTCGATGATGGACTGTTTTCGATAAGAAAATAAGTTAGTTGACATTTAATATTTGGTAAGAAAGAATCAAATATTTTTTGATAAAGACTTTGTGGTGAAAGAATCCAAAGAACCTTAGATAATAGTTTACTTCAGACAAAAGATGGGAAGTTTGTGCCTGGTAAGAAATGCAAATTGTTTTTAAAAGTTGGCCTCCTGAAATGACACCATATGCTGTGTGTCGGAATCTAAACCATCTCCTCATTCTTGTCCCATGAGCTATTTCCCTTTGCCATCAATCACATTTTAGATCCCTGACACATTATTTTTTTCATTGAACCTTTTACCTTTGAGTGATTTTTTTTACTATTAGCTGTATTCTGAATTGACAGTTAGCACACGCAGCTTGGTTAATTTATTTATGTTTTGGTTGAGATTAAGAGCACTGCACTAAAGAAGCCTTTTTGTATACAATGAAATAGACATATCAAGGTTGGATTATGTCATGCTGAGTAATTGAGTTTCCATAGACTATTCCCATCCTAATAAACACACTACAAAATATTTTTATGCTCATTGGCGGACTTTACAAGAGTGTATGTACAACTGCCTTCTTCGGCTTCAGAAGAAACTCTCATAGTCCTGCATCCCTACGAATTCAATTGGAAACTCGCTTTGCATGATTGGTGAAGCATCATGTGTCACAAGCCAGTGGGTTGTTGCATTCTTTAGCAGAAAGACATTTGTGATCTCTCTGTTTCTTCTAACACGAGCAACCAAATTAAAACAATTCAAAGAACATGACCATAGCCAAAACGTAAACCTCAGGCTGGTTCTTGTATCTAAATGCTAATCAAATATATTTGAATTCAGATCAAAGCTAACGCCACAAAAGGGAAGCTAATTCAAACGCGGTAAAACAGAGCCGAAACGCGCAATGTTTCTTGAGTGTTGCGTATAGCATGCGTTTACACGTGAAACCATCGTAATGCGCAAATCAAAACGAGTTCCATTTCAGACAATAAGTCCTCGTCTTGATCAACAGTCCCAAACGGCTCATCAAACGCATAAGACAACAAGGAAGCATCATACACTTCCTTCTTCCACCCGCTCAGCCTACTAGCCACCAATGCCGCACCTTCTGATGATTTTCCTGTCGACTGTCGTTGATGGTAATGTTGAAAGCTTTTAGATTCCTCATCACAGTTTCTTTGTTCTTTGATGTTAGCTTATAATATGAACAGGATCATAACTCTTGGTTTGATTATTTTAGTTCACTATGAGGGTATATTGGCTGAAGATGGAAAGGTATTTGATACTAGGCGTGAAGACAATCTGGTTTCAGGGAGAGATTGCGGCAGCTGGTTATGGTTTATTGGCGCAGAGATCTGAAGAAGCAGAGAGATATTGCTGCAGCTGCTAAAGAGGATGATAAGAAGAAGAGAGAAGAAGCAAAAGCTGCTGCATCTGCTAGGGATTCAATCTAAGCTAGACGCTAAGAATGGTTCAGGCAAAGGAAAAGACAAAGGCAAATCTAAATAAGCCACAAACCAAAACACCAACCTTGTTTAATTAAATGGCAATAAAGAATTATCATAATGTGACCATTACATGATTTGTTTTGTGTCTAAAGATCTTGCTGATTTTGATTCGCAGACATATTGAATAACAACAGTAACTGTCCTAAACCAAACTTTTCAAATATACTCGTCTGTTGCATGCATACGATGACTTGCAAGCAAGAGTATATTTCGAAACCTGATGCAAGCAAGGTAGCGTGCCAACAACTTCTCCTACGGTAACTTGTTCGAGGCAAACAGTACAATTGTTTACTCTCACTTACAGAATTTTGCTTCCTCTGCTTTGAACACGAGGAAAGGATCATCAACATTCAAGATTTCGTCAGCCACTTATCAAGAATCTTGTTACTTATATCACTCTATGTGTGATTTTATTTTTAAGTTTATCTTTTCATTACCTTATTTTTGCAAACCGTGGTAACTAACCACTTATCTCTTTAATCACAAGTTTTATAAAGCCATTTTCTCCTTTTTTTCTATCTTTAATCACAAGTTTTATAAACAAGCCATCTTCTCTCTTTAATCACAAGTTTTATAAACAAGTCATTTTTTCTCTTTAATCACGATATATGAATTTTCCTTCTCAAAACACTTTAGAGGAATCGTTTCCGAGTTCAAACAAGGAGAAGACAACGGAAGTTCACAAGTCGATCTCACATAAGTTCACAAGTCGATCTCACATATTTTACAGACATCCCTACGAATATCGTCAACATTTTACTAATCTTTGTTTTATGTTTTTATTTTAAAATTAATGTTTAAAATGTTATATTTTATTATGTTTCAAGGACAAAAATTAAGTTTAATAAGAAAAAAAAAACAAAGTTGGTGCTTACTTAAAAAAAAAACTAAGAACTCTTAATTAAAACACCTGCATTGGAGCACGTAAATTTGCGGGTCTCTTAAATCACTTTTACAATTAAAATGTTTTAAATTAATATAAAAACCCCATTTAAGATATGTGGGTTAATGGTGCTCTAAGTTTTCTCTAAAATCTTCAGCGTGATTATGATTTTAGCAAAAAAATAATATAGAATGATTTGCACGACTTTCGTTAGTTTTGAGGAAAGAGAGAATTACCAAAGCATTTACAAATAGTAGTTATAATGATAAATAATAAATTATGCCATATAATAATATATATGGATCAAGCCTCTTATATATATATATATATATATATATATATATATGCATCACTACAACTATCACAAACCACACCTCTCTCTCAATAATGTATCCAAGCGATTATGGACTGGGTTCGACCCCAGTTCCTCACGAAATTTGAGAGCAGGGAAATGCTAACGCATAACCCTTTTGTAAAGGGGAGTGTATTCCTACGACCATTGCCGAAAAGGTTTCTAGTGAGATGAACGGTAGGTCGGTGGTGAGAGAGATTATAAAACACTATTGGACTCAAGTATGCTTTGAGCACAAGATCTTCACACCCATTCCTTCAAAACCAAGATATGGTATGTCTAAAGAAACAGTGGCGGATTTAGAAATTTTTTTAATTGGGGTCAAAGTTAATTAAAAATCTACATAATATATCGATGGAATAAAATACACAAAATTTTACATGAATGAGGTATCATCTATAGTGCATGACTATCTCGGATGATGCTTTATTTTTTTCACTTTTTTCTTTATTTTGAAGCAAATTTTGCTTTATTTTTATGTAAAATTTGCTTTATTTTTACTTAAAATGAATCAATGAATAGTGTTGTTTCAATTTGAAACTATATTGTTTATTGTTTCATTTCTTAAGCTGAACTTTCTCATTTCTAATTGATCTTTAACTTTTATTTGTTCTTACTTTTTGATAAAATAAATTATATACGTTAATACTATCCAATTAATATCAAAATTTTGATTTTGATTTTCAAAAATCAAAGATAAATAAGATCATCTCTTACTTATAATCACGAATCGATTAACAAGAATCAAAGATAAATAAGATCATCTCTTACTTATAAACACTTTTGTTAATCACTTACACAAATATATATATATATATATATATATATATATATATATATATGTGGTGTTTTTTCAAAAATTATGATGTGTTTGTGTTTGTTTATTCATGTTATATAATAAATATATTACATGATAATGTTTAATTTTATATTAAATAGTAATTGCGTTGGTGTATTGTTAAGACAAAATAGTTGAGTAAAATTTGTAAATATAAAAAATATAAAGTGTTATTAATAATTAATGATAACATAGAGCTATAATATACTTTAATATTTATTTTATAAGAAATAAATGAAGCTAACCATTTGAAAAGATGTTGTTTCACTTTTACTTCATTTTGCATGAAGTGAACTTTTGAAACTAAATATGAAACCAATCATTGGAGATACCCTAAATATTTTATCACAAAATCATTCTTTTGTTAAACCATATTGATTAACTAGGAAAGAACAGTTTGAGTGAACAGTCAAAACTATGCAATATCTTGACACAATTAGCTTGGTAATTTTGTACTATAGTTTATTTATTGAATGAAAATGTTGATAAAAACTTGATTTAAGTTATCTTACCTAACTGTAATTATATAAAGTCTAAATTAATCAATAGTTGTTTAATATATTAAAAATGTAAAGCTGTAAAAATCTATCCAGAAAACACAGAGAAGAGAAGTATATAATTAGAAATTTTAGATATAAATTTTTCGTATGGACCCCAATTTATATAAAAGAAATAAATCCAAATATATGATATTTAACTTTTGTTATTTTGTGACTTACTTATATGAATTTTATTAAAATTAAAATTAAAAAAAAAACTTGTTGGTAGATGAAATAACATGGATTTCAAATTATATAAATCAATATTGTGAACTTTATGAGAACAATATGGGTCAACTGATTCTTTTACCATCTATGTACCTCCGCCCCTTTAAAGAAGAAGACGTGGTTACAACAACACGCTTCCGCGTAATCGCAAAGAGCGCATTCTTAGAGGCCTCATAAATCGCTGTCGGTGAAGACGGTAGAAACATGGAGCTTGAACAGGGGCGGAGAGTCGGAGACAGCTATAGGAGAATGGGGTCATTGTCGAGAAAAAAAAAACTCTTAACGTTTTCATTTTAGATTACTGCTTATTTTTTTAAAAAAAATTAAGAATACTAACAATTTTATAAGCCCTTTTCAAAAAAAAAAACAATTTATAAGTTAGTATTTGAGATATATGTCAAAAAAAATAGATTTGGATACATGTATATGTATATCACTTTAACCTATTCAATATTTGTATTATTTTTATTATTTGAATAGTTTTAAATAAAATATTAATATTAATTAATATTTTTGCTATAAATCAATTTGACCAGGGTCAAATTTTTGGTTGGCTCCCTCACTCCTTGAGGTCATGCTGTTCTCAGTGCAAGTGCAATGTCCTAAACTCAGCAGCGAGGATGATGATGAGGGCACCTCTTGATCTTGATTCCCTCCAAACGGCAAGAAATGCAGTATGGCAAAGGTAACCGGGGCTTCCAAAGGATGGGGGTTTTTTCAGTGACCCGCAAGATAGCTGCATACTCATCACCGACGTCATGAACCCATGGTCTTGCAAATCAAACCCTAAGATCTTTACTCTTCCTCCACTTACTCCCTTACCCTCTTGCCAAACTGATGTTATCTTGTGGCAATGTTGTCTTGTCCTGATGACGACCAAGACTGGGTGGTTGGCATCAATTAAGTCATTGGGTGACCAGCTGAGTTTCTGTAGGCCTCGTCCACTTGCGTTGGACTAAGATCACAACCCCTCCTGATTTCTTTCCAACCTCAAATCTCATGTATTCCAAGAAAGATTGCAAGTTCCACTTGACCGGTCCTGGAGGCCATCACTTGTTGTCCTATGGTCCCCATTTCATGAAATCCTACAAGCCTGAGTTCCACGAGTTGCTGTTTCGCAACTTTCCAGAGTTGTTCAAGTATGACTCGGAGCAATCAGAGATGTTTCCTTCTTCTTGCAGGACAGACCACCTTGTGGAGTCAGCTTCCCGAGATGAACGTTTCCTGGTCAAATAGTATTTTATTATTATTATTATTATTATTATTATTATTATTATTATTATTATTATTATTATTATTATCTATACTATTAAAACACAAGGCCATTTTTTGAGGTGCCCTTGGTTTTCAATAGTAATTACAGATTTATGCCACTGTATTATTTTTAGGCTATGATTTGTATCAATAGATTTTACCCGATGAAAATGGGTTTGACCCGATTCTATTAAATTGACAAAATCTTACGGTTGTTTAGTTGTAAACAAATATACACCGAATCCCTAAGAATATGGAACGACATCTATTTAGTTTGATTTTATATATTTTTTTGCTTTAAATTTGTAATTAAAGTTACGTATAGTAGAAGTTTATAAATTAAAAATTTCAGGATTTCTATGTACAGATTCCATTGATATTTTTAATTGCTTTGGTTATCATTATATATTAAATCAAATCATATCACACGGGTCCCTCCTGTTTGACCCGTTCCAGAATAGATGCGGAGCGATCAATTTGAGAAAAGTAAGTTGCGGATGCGGATATAAATTAAGTGTATTTTATTCGGAAGGGATACGGGTTGGTTTTATTTATATCGCGGATACACGCTAATCCACAAAGATAGAAAAAACAATTTCCTAAAAATGGGTTATTTTTTTAAAAAATATAATAATTTTAGGTAAAATGAATTAAAAATAAAAAATAAAAAACTAATTAAAAAAAAATATTAACCATATTTAAAAAAAATAATTATTTATATTATTTAATAATTATCTACGGGCCATGCAGGTTATCTGTAAATTTAAGTGAAGTGAGTCAAATAAATATATTTTCTTTGCGGGTTAGAAATGTTAAAAACATTAGTCAAAAAATAAAACAACTGCATGAAGGGTCGAACGGGACGGGTTTGGCCCGCTTCCTAGACACGAGTGTATAATT